GAAAAAAATGTCGCTTACGTTATTTTGGCGGTTAGGGCTCGATATATAACGAGCTATACTTTCATCAAAAAACAAGTAAAGAAGTATAACTTTGCGCGAAACCGAACTTTATATAACCAGCGCACGTATTAAATATCGCTTTTTCACTTTTCTTTAAACATTTTGGATAATAAGCCATATCATACTTATTGAAATAAATGCTCCAGGTTTTTTGGAAATCGATTAAGCGGTTATCGATATACATTTATGTAGTCGTAAGTTATTGCTGTCTTGGCCCTTTTCAAAAACCCTTTAATTTTGATATAAATTCAAGTAATTTCACGTCTTTATTTATTGAAATATCGAAGTTTTCGTAGTGGGCCTGATTTCAGGAATTTTCAACGAGTTTCCAAGTGACACCCTTAGCAATGTTCCTACCCGAGTTTGTGGGGGTTTGATAAAGCGGCTACTGAGATACAGCATTTAACTACAAGTGGGCGATGCCACGCCCATTTTTCACAGATTGCATAACTGTCTTATTTTGTGTCAAAATTCTATTTCAGATTCCATATTTCAATAATTTGTATTCAGTCTTAGCGGATATATCGTAGGCTTAGCATTTTTCGAAAATACCGTTATATGGGAGATGGGTAGGGATTGCAGCTATTAATCATTTGATTAAATTAATCCATTATTTTTTTACGATTGTCGATTAAATTGTATCGTAGTTTTGTTTTTCATTTATCGATTATTAATCGAGAATTTCTAAAATAATCGTTAAAATATATTCAAGAAATATGATAAATATGATGTACTTGTCTTAAATCCATCCATCGGAAATTCTTTTTTGCCAGCTGCATCAACTTTACTCGACCCGAGGTTCTAAGGAATTCATTTCAGTGATCCGCTAGTATTGGCCTTAGATGTTCTTATGGAACGAGTCGCCACTAGAATCAGTAGAAAATTAGTTCGATCTTTGGGCTCCTCATAAATCTTTTGTACACAAACGAAGGCGAAAAGAGAATGATTTGGGTCATCCACAAGATGAAATGAGTTTTTATTTAAATTGTCAAGTCCTAGAACCCAAGCGGAATTTCAATGACGCTTGGTAGGAAATGAAAACTGTTTACCCAAAACTTTACGCACTTTCAAAAAAATACGCAACCGCTTAACAACAAAACGCTTCGGTTTTTGCAAACTTGGTTAAATAATAAATAAATATCGCCGCTAAAAATACTCGTTTTATTTTATTCAAGGCTAATTAACAAGAGGATTAGACATTTTTTATGGAAAAGTGTTTTTGTGAATACTCACTAAAAAAGTGCCTGTAAATATTCGATTAATCGTTTATTTCTCAATAATTGCAATTAATTTTTTTTTGCTTGTGATTAAGCATATGAAAAATTAATCGATTATTTTATATTTTTTTTTGCCATCCCTAGAGGCGGCTGTGATTACTGTCCGATTTTGCCATACGTAACCAATTGCGTTCAGATATCTCATATTTTACTCGAATTATTGTGTGAACGGACGGACAGACAGACATGGATACTGGTGTACGCTTGCCGATTTGTATTGCAATTTTTTGGGAGCCCCTTATTTATGGGGGTTCCAGACCCGTTAACGTGGAAGGTATCGCCCTCCATCTTCTTGTCTACATTCGTTTAACAGAATTCGAAATACTCTTAAGATCTGCGGTTGATATCAAAACTTTAAGAGCACAATTTACGCTTTTGCCTTTTTTCTGTGTTTGCATCCACTAATTAAGGCTCCGTGCAGAAATCGTTTTTTAACGAACACTAAATTCTGATTACCAATGTTCATTACCGCCCACAAAAATTACTCAATTAATTTTCATGCCCGAAAGTCAAATCCAAACCAGATTGACGTACATAATTTATTTATATGTATACACAATAACTGTACTACGTTTTTATTAGTGTGTAATTACAAGCAGCAAATTGAGGTAACAGTCACACACACACTCATCCGTACAATCAGAAATTAGTTTCATGTCGACATTTATAGATCAACGGCATCAAAATACTTAACAAAAAATAAAATAAAAATATTAAAAAAAATTAAGACGCAGCTGCTGAGCTCTGTATCTAACCGGGCTCCTTAGAAAACATAATTAAGTTGTTGTACCGCCAGTAATGGGTGCAATAATCACAACAACATGAATTGCAAACACAATTTCAATTCTCCACAAAACCAACAACAATCAGCCGACGGCAAAGCGTGTAATAAACTAGCGAGACGATTGACAGTTGAACGACTACGAGAAAAATAATCGGCAAAAATGCATTGTGCATTTGTTGCTTAGTTTTGTTGCCGCCGGTACTAAGTAATTGCCAATTGTCTGCTAATAAAGAATAGTAATTATGATTTTTTTGGACACAAATGTCGATTCCTCTTAGAAAATAAAATTTCCAAGTGATGCCAAGTGACAGCTGTTGTGCTTCCTCCACGGCTGTAAATCGGCGACCTAAAAAATAACCGTTAGTTTTTTTTTTTTAAAGCATTAGCGTGGAGCGGAAACTAGGACTTTCCGCCTGCCTCACTTACAAAGTAACGACTACGGGAACATGGATCGGAAGCTCGGCCTTTCCGACCATGATCAACGGCCTGTAAACAGGGCGGAGCGGAAACTAGGTCTTTCCGCCCGCCGCACACAAAAGTAGACTGGAGACAAGGCCTCGCCAGCTACCCAAATTGCTATTGAATATCATTGTTATCTTTACAAGTTAATATTTATAATTATTTCACTCTGTAATGTATCACACATACTTAAATATTCTAAATCTTTTTATCTCAACTGTCTGTAAGAAAACATTTTTCTGTAGACTAAAAATAAATAAATAAATAAATAAATTACAAGTTTATTTTTTTCTTCACAAACTTTTAATTTGTTTTGGTGTCGTTTTCGAAATTTAATTGTATGATTTTTATTATTAAGTATTAAATATTACTACCAGCTAGTTTGTCATTTAGCTAGCTAGCATCACACGAATTGCAATTACCGTACCGAAATACAACACACACACACACACACACACACACACATACATACTTACGCACTGCAATCACTTTGCCGGTTATTGGTGTTGGGCTTTTGGAGTTGCATTAACCGTTTCAACCATTTAAGGCTGTGCAAGTTGCAATTTATGGTCGCAAGCTAATTTTTTTCAACGCATTTGTTTTCCACTTAAAAATCAAACAGCAAACGTTAGAGATTCTCAGCCATGTTAGCTGTCACTTAAAAGTTTGTCAATCCGTTTCGTAAGCCAAGAATTTAGTTAATTTGAGCCAAGTTGGAAATATTTGGCTGGCTTATTGGATACAAGACAAGCAGTAAAAAAAAGTAGACGCGGCTCAGTATTATTTCGCATAAACACTGTAAGAAAGAATAAATTAAACTGCCAGCGAATTTAATTAAGGATTATATTTAGAAAAATATTATGTTATAAAAATTTATGTATGGTACAAAAGTACCATTAAAAATATTACCGAATATACAAAATTTTAAACCATTACTTTTGGCATACAATTTATGTTTGTAGATGTATGTAAAATTCAAAATTAGAAGTAGTTGTATTATTATTAAACATTTACATACGTTACATATACCCTCACATTCGTTGTTGGTGCATTTCAGTGCTTTTATGTTTTTTTTTTTTATTAATAAGCAAAATTTGCATAAGTTTTAAGTTGTAAAATTGACAGTCAAATGACATTTTAAATGTCAGTTAACATGCGTCATGCTTGGCACTCACAAGTACAAACATATATATGTGTGTGTGTACTTTCGTGTGCCAGAGCTTATACAGGGTGTTTCAGCTATGTATGGTGGTGGTGCCAAATGGAGCTTTTTTAATTATTGAAACTTCCCGCATCATTATTCAAAACCATATTGGCTCTCTTTGTAAGCCATTTCTTAGAAAATTTTCTGGTAGTTTTGTTCAAATAAATCAGTCGAAAAGCATAAACAGAGTTTTTTTTCAAAACTGTTTGAATTACCCTTTGTTTACTGTTGCCCCAAAGTGACCAATGCAATATTTATTCGCTGCAATCTACGCAAGAAAAGAAACGCACCAACAAATGCTTGCCGATAAAAAATCGTACAGAAACCAAAAAAAAAATTAGTTTACACAAATCTTGTAAATCTTTGTGCAAATGTATAAGACCGGCGCCTGTTTATTTGGACATTTTTATGTTACATAATGGGCCACTTTGCATTTAAATGACAATAATAAATATCATTCAGCTGCAAGCGCGTGAAAAATTTATATTTTTCTTATTGAATAATTTTATGAGACATTAATAAAATACATTTTTGGCGGTTACAATTTTGCTAAGCCTTCAAAGTTCGAATTGCAGGTGGTTGTTGTGAGAAAAACGAGATTGAATGTTAGTTGTTGCAGAAGCCTGGGCCCTACCAGGTGGTGGTAAAATTTAATTCATCTCGAACAAAATTTCAGACGCCATTAGAACGCCTCTTTTCGAAAATCAAAATGAAGCTATTGCATACCATTTACAAGCTTTGAAACTTCAACATAACTCAGAACCCAATAACAAAGCAAGACGACAAGACGAAAGAAATAGGTATCCGGTAGGTGGCGGAGGAGTCGAGATATTTGGAAAATCCGTATTTATCATCCGATCTGTTTCATATTTACAATTGGGTTGTTCACACTTGCCTGGTTATCAGGTTATCTGGTTAAAAATTATTATTCCGTAGTGTATGTTATCGTCGTATACTGAATAAGAAATATAACCACATAACCAGATAACCTTGATAACCAGGCAAGCGTGAACAACCCAAATGTGTATTACTTAAATGGGAAAAAATAGCTGCTCAGAAAATTTAGCCGATGCGAGGGTCGATTTTTCGTCTTTTTTTTACCAACCACTAATAAAAACTTCAATCAAATCGTTTTTTAATTAATTGTTTTTTTTTTCTTAATCCATACAATTTTATTCTACATTTCTTTACATTTTGCCTATTTTTTTCTTTACAGTTTACGGTAAGCGTGTCATTTCGCGCTCTTGCTTCTACGAGGACTACGACGATTCCTCCGATCGCTGCGGCCACGAAACGACCTCGTCCTACATCAAAACGGTGTTCTGTCAGACGTGTAGCACCGATGGATGTAATGGCGCCAGCGCCTTCTCGCCCTACGTCGCGCTAGTGCTGCTACCACTGGTAACGGTGCTGATGAAGCGGTTCAAATGAACAGCAATGCGGTGGCAACCTAGTTGAGGCTATTGAGGGCATATTCGAAATTCCGACGTAGCAATACTTTTATTTCTTAAATTAAAAAAAAAAAAAACTCAAAATTTATTTTGTACGCATTATGTTTTAAGTTTAAGCATAAAAAAAAGAAAAATCATTTCATCTTAAATGAATGAAATTATGAGCGAGTAATTTGACGCTTGTAAAAATTCTCAAATAATAGTTGAATTGTTTCGATCTAAGCTCGTAGAATAAAATGGCTGGTTGTTTCTAATTTTAATAATGTACACAAAAAAAAACATCGATTTTTAAGTTGTATTTAACGAAATTCGCACAAAAGTAACCAAATCGTAGTACTAACTTTCAGCCGTGCGCGACTTTTGCAGAAATATTTGTCACAATTAAAAAAAAAATTTCTTGAAGGCAGCTGCTCCGACATCACACGTTTACGTGAGCAATTATCAGATAAAGGTTTCCAATGCAGTGAATATTTTATTCTAAATAATCTAATTTAAAATTCTCTAAAACAACAACATTTGTAATAAAACAAAAACCAAATAAAAGACTAAGTTAACTCTATTCAGACGGAAAAAAATTCCCAAAAATTGTTTGACTAATCTGATCTAAAAGCGAACTCTGTGCTTCGGGAGTTTGGTAAATAACACCTAAAGTATATCTAATTAAAGCAATCGTACTAATAAATTTATTATTTACATGATTGTACAATTGTATCTATATAAGAATGTCAGATGTCTAAATAAAGTGACGGATTACCAAAAAACAAATTGCGATTCCTTACTGATTTACTTTAGCAGAGCGATTTAAGTGCAGCGAAATATATCACTGAAACACTACATTAGAAGATTAAAAGATAGATTTTCTGAAAATAAATCCACCCAAAAAATATTTTTAGTCTTATTTTAATTTTCTATCACTGAAGTTGAGTTCAATTAATCAAATTATCCAGAAGTCGAATTTACTCATTACCACTTTTAACTAAATATATTAAGTAGTAAACAAAACTCAGATATGAAGAGGACGAGAATTAAACACCGGAGTTTCCTTAGACAGCACATTCCACTTCTTCATTGCGAAATCAGAACGCAGATCAGTGCTGATTTTAATTCACTCTCTCAAATAAGCGGAAATGCAATTATGCATCACTGTTTATTTATTCACTTTTTCTGCAAACAATTCTTTGTCATGATTTCATTTTTTTCCCACTGCATTTTTAAGTTTTTATGTTTGTAATTTACTTATCTGTATCTGCACTGTTTAAGAGTTGTAGTTAGTACGTACGGACGCAAACATACATACGTACATATGTACATATACATTTGTACGCAGATTTGTAGGTACATAAACACACAAAGCTGCTGCAATTTTGTAAATCATTTCTCATCCTCCGCCTACGCACGATTTGCTCGCTTGCACTGTTCGAGGGAAATGGCCTTTGACCGTTGCATTTTTCATTTCGTCCGTCATTTAATTGGCAATGACCGTGCCTGCGAGTCGGCGTAGCAATTAATTTGTGGAATTATGGTGCAAAAAAGTGCATTGCTATTCATCACTAATTGTTAGTAGTTGTTTGTTTAGTTTTGATTTTAGTATTGTACAAGCAATTGGATTTCGCCCAGGGAAAGTGTTTTGAAAATCAGCGTAAATAAATCAACATAAAAAAAATATTGCTGCGAACACTATCTATGTGGGTGTGTATGTACATGTAATACACTCTAAAAAATCTGTTTAAAAATGCGGCTATAAATCGAGTATATTTTTGTTTATTTTTAAATTTTTTTGGTAAATTTACACGCTGAATATGTATTTTCCTCGATTACACATTTTCGTGTGTAAAAATCCTTTTTGTTAGTGGCTTTACACAATTCCAAGGGTGAAATCAAACAGCAGATGTGTATTTTGTAGCTTGTACACACTTTCTTAGTAAATTTACGCACACCGCAGCAGCCATATTACACTCTAAAAAGTCCGAAATTTAAACAAACTATTCGTTGAATGATCGAGCATGTAATTTCGCGAATAATAAGGTAGGAAATCAGTAACCTACCTTTTAGGTAGGAAATCTACACAATTTTTTTTTAGAGTGTAGCTGGGATTTAACTACATAACTTTTTAAACACGTATGTATGTACATATATGTTGAACGTACCACCTTACAAGCCAACGAAAACATTAACCGTACACCCCCGAATCGAAAAAATAAAACTTTTTTTGCCGAACCTAGGGGTCACCTTTTTTTCATTTTCTGGTGACACCTACATTTGTACATTTGGCAATATGATTTTTTTTTTTCTTTCCGAATACATAGTTCAACTTGAGTAGGGGCTATTCCAGTATTACGTAACCATGGATGGGAGGGAGGTTCTTTTATTTGCTTATTTTTGATAACAAGGGGCAGTAGGGTTTGGGAGATGATGACGTCAGCAATATTTATTTATTACTCTTTTGACAAGGCGGAGGTAGGGTTTAAAAATGACTAAAACTCTGCTCACATAATACTTTTATAGCCCTACAATCGAAATATTTCCTTAGCAATGGCTTAATAATTTTTGGCGAGGATGATAAGAATGCAGATCTGGCGAGTAAATACTATTTAAAACACTTAGTACAAGGTAAACGGAGTATGCGTAATTAACTTATTCTACAAAAAGTAATTTTTAAGCAAAAAACAAAACCGACTTCAATTCTCATATAAAAATCTAGGAGTACCGTTAATTTTTTCAGGATCCAATATTTGGGTCTAAACCAGATTAGTATGGGACCACCTCTGAGACATTGCCTTTCCGATGCAAGAAGAATCGGTTGACGTGGTCCACAGTTATGCGGTAACATACATAAAAAGAAAAAAAATATTCCGACGAACTGATAACCTCCTCCTTTTTAGGAAGTCGGTTAAAAAGGGTTAATCTTAAAGAGTACTGTAGTGAAACTGAATCCTTGGGTTGTGCAAATTCTTAAAAAGGACCAAACATTTCGATTCACTCAAGAGGCTCAGTGCCGGATTAAGGGCAGGGCCGACAGGGCCGCAGCACAGGGCTTCCCCATTTTGGATGACGAAAGAACAAAAAAAAAATTTTTTCGACTCACCCAATAATGTAAATTTGCGTGGGACGCTGGAAGAAATAATAAGTTGGATAAAAAAGACAAAATATTCATACTATTCCATCTCTGTTCATAAACGAGACTGCCGGGGTCATTCTTTTAATACTGCGTGCAACATAAGCGGCAAGTGCAAAGGAATTCAGGCGAAATTTTCAAAAGAAAATACGTGGTAAAAAGTCAATAATTAACGATAGTCACTGTTAATATGAAAATATAATTTCTCCTTAATTGTATGTAATAATTAACTCAAAAAGGGGCCCCACATGTATAACAGCCTCGGGCCCCCACATTCTTAATCCGGCTCTGAAGAGGCCAGAAGGTCTACCAAGGTATTTGCTTTCATTGAGCAGATAGGACAGCAGACTACTCGAGGCATTACTGTCTGGTCATTTTTCTTGTTAAATACCTGCACCTCATCTTAATTTTTTTTTTTTAAGTATTAGTTATGAGGCTTTTAACAGCGAAGTGTTGGTAGGCTGAGCCTTTTAGGAGATGTCATGACTAGAGGCATACTGCCAACCACAGAAGAGGATTTCTCCTGCCTGGTTTGCTCCGCCAAATTCCGCTTCCTCCTTCTAGACAGCGAGCTGCTTGTCGTCTTAATTTTCAAGAACACTAATGCCATGTCATTCGAGAAACCCACAAGGGGTTTTGGTTTATTTTTATGTATACTTATGTAATTTTCACCGCCTAGTGGCTTTGCCTTTTCGAACCCAATAAATTAATTACGTACGTTTTTAAATTTCTGCTTCTAATTGGAGGTTTGAATGCTCCAAGCTGTTGTGGGAATTGAATTCTTTCGTAACCAGCATTGCTTGTAAACATACATATATTTTTGTCTTTCAATGTTCCATAATTGATATTCTTTAGGGAGATTTGGATGTCAGAGCATTTTTTTATAATAGATAAGTAATCGCAAAACTCTAAAAACATGTGTGTGATTTTAAAGTAATAAATTAGTTTAGGAATTAAAAGATAGCGCAGAAAATTATAATGAACGGTGAGTATTTATATATAAAAGGAAAGCTGAGATGGGCGACCGCCGTTAAGTAAAAACCCTTCTTCTTTACTTGTTTGCGATGTTGCTTTGACCAGGGCTTGAGCCCAGGCTCTGCGGAGTGGAAGCGCGCACTGCTAACCACCACACCACAGCGGCCACACATTTGGGTACTAATTTGCCGCAAATAATCTCACACGGCTATAATCGGAGATCAGTTATTCCCCACCTCATCTCTAATAGGTGCAATTAACGATTCAACGACATTCCGTATTTTCCGCATATTTGATTCCTTTCTCCTACTTAGTATTTCTTTAACGAAGAAGAGCTTTCGTAAAAATGTTCCTTTTATTCAATGGTTCTGCTTCTAAATCTAATCAGCTCGAAAGCAGTGGTCATGGAGCCAAGACAACAAACAAAAAATGGCAAATGCATTTATCGACTGACTACCTTTCGAAATGTCCGCCAGAATGGACGCGAGCGGTCACTTGCTTGATTGGCCGGTTTGACTTGCCCACTGGTCATGCGCCATGCCTTTAAAATGCTTTATGGCCAACTTCAAGCGAAGCTAAATTAAATTATGTTCTATGTACGCACAAAGCTGTCGCCTGGTGGCAGTTGGAGTGGCTGGCTGCAATCGGTATGTGGCGGCATGAAGTTTTAGTTTCCCTTTTTTTGCGTTTTTTGTGTGTCGCTGCCACAGCAGAGATTTATTTTGCATTATCGACGAACAATGTAAACAATATTTGGTGAATATGTGCTGCCATGTTTAGAAATCAAGTCCGCTAGTCTGTTTGCTAAATAATTTTTTGTTCACACAACCAACAAAAAAATAAAATAAATAAAAAACATCACCGGCATTCAGCTCTCGTAACGCATTGCGCGTGTGCGCCGTCTATTCGTTGCTATTAGGCTGTCACGCATTTTGCGTGCAAATGCAATCATTGCATACATATGTGTATACATATTTACACTTATGTACTTACATTTACATACTTAATATACATATATGTAAATAAATAAATATAAGTACTTACTGTCTCCATTTTTCTTGTTAGCAACTCTCCTCTTTTTCTATCCCGCAATTTTGCTTTGCCACAGGCTGATCGTCACTCGATTTTGTTGTCGTTTAATGAATAAGATTAATGTCAAGATTTGCATATAAACTCATAGATATTTCCAAATCGAGTTTGCCGATTTTTTTTATTTTAATTTTAATTTTTGTTTTAAATTTTTTTTTATGTGTTTGTTGTGGCATTATCAAGTGCTTTCGGATACACATACATGTATTTAAAAATTATTTATTATTGGCAGTAATGGAATACTAAATTTGGTTGTTTACGTGGCTGAATTGAGACAGATTTTTTTAGTTTTGAAAAAAAAAAAATCTGTATTTAATTTTATCGTATTAACTTTTGATAAGCTTGCGACATTCCGATAAACACTTCCTGAAACATTTTAGTTTTGATTGACCCAGGTACTTAAAGCTGATCCTACAGTAGAATGGTTCCATGGATACGCCGCGTGAACGTGTAACCTACTGGGAGGTGCCACGGCGGGTTCTAATATTTCCAACTCAAATTTAGTAACCTGGCCTTGATAAAATACCACTTCTCAGTACTGTAGCTAAATGCCTCAAGAGGTATGTATGCATCATGGAAGCTTTAGAAGTCGGCTCTCCCCTTTGCATTAAATGACAATTTTTCTGTCAGTAAGGCACTTATAAATAAATCTCCATAAAAAATTTAAAATACTCCCAGCGATTTTCTATCCTTCCAGAGAAATGTATTAAGAAAGTTTTAGTATGTATGGGAGGCGATGTGCCTCCTTTATTAATAACCCACATTTTTTCTATGAGAAATTGATAGATTTTGTATACACAACTCCATAACAAAGTTCCAGTATTCTCCCACTAACACTTTCAGGGATATGTGCCAAGAAAACGTCAATTTGTGCAGGAAGTGCCACGCCCCTTTTTCTTATAACCCTTGTCTTCTTCCTTCTGAGTTTGGAATTAATTTTACATACCCCAGTACCAAGTCCCCGTACTCTACCATGAACACCTTAAGAGATAGGCAGTACAAACTAGTCAATTTTTACGGGAGGTACCACGCCCCCTTTTCGAATAACGCAAGTTTTTCTCCATGAATATGGATTTAATGTTGTATATGTACACATCTTGGTGCCAAGTTCCAGTCCTCTGAAAAAAACACCTCCAGAGATATGCAACACAGAAAAATCGATTTGTATGGGAGTTGCCACACCACGTTGTCCAATAAATCTCATTTTTCTTCATGGAGTATTGGGTTAGTTTCACATACATACATACATATAGTCGTTTAAAGTACAAACCCGCGTATCGTAATTCTGCAAAACCGCGTAACTGACATTGGCTGCCAAAAATTGGATTTGCTCACACAAGCTCTTGGCTCAATCCTTATCCATTCGTCCTGAAATATACTAGGCAGATATGCGATTGCTTTATAAAAAAGAGAACCATTTTGAAATATGAGTGTTTTTACACTCTAGGAAATAATTTCTACAACTTCACATACGCGGTTTTGCATTTTGCTGATACGCGGTTTTGCACTTTAAACGACGATATATATATCCAAACCAGGCTTGAGTACTTAGCCCAAATATTTAAAGAGATATGCAATATGAAACTTTCAGTCAGTATGGGAAAAACGTCAATTTTTCTCTGTGAGTTGGAATTTGATTTCACATAAATTTCATGCAAATCCGTTCAGTCGTTGCCGCGTGATGGTTTCGCAAACATCCAAACACACAAACATACAAACTTTCATATGTATAATATTTATTAGTAGGGTATGAACAATAAAGCTCGCTTTTCTTTAACTATTAAGATTATATTATTTATTGGATGTATTGCATAAAAAATCCCTAGTATTCCGATGCTCAATAAGCTAACGAAAAGCAGGCTTCATTTCTTCCCCGATTCTCATGCACTTCGAAAATACAACATTGAGCTAAGGGCATACCAATGTTGCTGTCACAACGTACAAAACCTTTAGTATTTAGTAGATATAGTATTCGTTTAGCAAGTCAAAGATCCCCAATACCCGATTTGAATCCCAAAGGAGCAACTAAACTAAACTAAACAACTAAATATTTTAAAAGCAACTAGTCGCCCTTCATAAATAGGCCGTCCGGGTATAAAGGGGCACAATTAGTCTATTCATAGGACATGCTCAAATGAAAGGTAACTATTCCCTTTCCACATAAAGAGATCAAAAATGCTATTAATCGAAAGATTCTTTGCTTTTTCCCTCGGAGTCATCCAGAATAAATCGAATTTTTTGTAAGGAAATAATAATTTTCGCACTGGCTTTTAACAAATATATTTGAAGCAAAACTAGACCAAAATGCACTACCGGAATCGGCTAGAGAGCAAATTGAAAATTGATTACAGTTTTATAGCCATTAAATCCATAGCCATAAGCGGACGCCTCTCAAACTGCTCAAATTCCATACCAACACCGGAAGCATACCAAATAATGCGCAACACAGTGTCTCTCAAACTGTAGCAATGTGTTAATAACAGAGAATGTTAATGTTATTAAATTAAAATTAACATTCTCTGATTAAATTAACATTCTCCGTTAATAATTTCCATGCAACTTAACAGTTAGTTAACAGAGTATAGTCAACAGAAAATACTCTTAACATTCTCTGCTAACAGCATCCCCCTTCCAAAGGACCAACGCAGCAATTTTTATTCCTAGCAGGACTTCGTCGCACGTCGCCGCCAAGGCTGCCACCACCACCGCCACCTTCATTGCCATCACCACCGGCGTAGTGGCGCCATGGCAGGCTTGCAGCGAAGCTACTCCAAAGCGAATCCTCACCGAATAGCGAACAGACTAACACGATTGCAGACGACAGCGAACGCAAGTAGGCAACCACCGCTGCAAACTGGCGAAAAACGATTTGCACATCTAAGCGGCTGTCGGATGGAGTAACGTATGTATGTAAGCACCTATGTACATAGCAGCAGCGATGAGTGACGTCACTTGGGAAAATATGAAAATCACTATGCATTGTTTTTGGCAAGCCAGCCAGCTGGCTGCCGACGCTCACCGATGGGTTGCTAGCCGCTTGCCCGCAGTGGCTTTTATGGCCAAATGTGTTTGGTAGCTTCTTGCGTTGGCGCTAGCTGCTGCTCTGTTTAGTCGGAGTTCGTCAGAGAAAGTGTCTGCAACGGGTTCCATCGCTTTAGTCACGTGCGAATAATTTCTGGTACATTATTGCGTGCGCTTTAATTGTAGATAGTTTTCAAATATAACGGTTGCTGGCGCCATATTGTCGGGGCGAATGTTTGGAGAATAAATACATAGTACATTTCGGAATATACTTGTATGCATAATTAGTTTGTAGAGTGAAACGAAATAACATTTGGTATGCCTCAATCGAAATATTGAAATACAGAAAATAAAAACAAAACCTAAGAAATAAATAGCTGAGTTCCTATTTTTGAAGGTCATCTTGTGACTTTACTATCGAACGGAAGTATACCTGCCCCCAGCCATTTCGTTAGTTAGCCGGAAGTAAGTGAAATTTACGCGACCTTAAGTAAAAACCAAATCTGAACGAAATGGAAAGCAACTTAAAAATTTGCTTCACCGGAATTTGCCTCATTTTGGTGGCGCTGCACTGTCAAGGTTGGTATTGCTTTTTCAAAGGGTAACACACATTTTGTATTCATAATTAAATAATATTTGAATATGTAGAGAGTATTTATATTCTTATGTCGAATTTCCACTAGCCATTGAAATGACAAAAAATTGGAGGCATTTAAAAAATGCCATGTGGAAATGAATGTAATGACTATTTTTTTAACGTATTGACGCGACTATTTATTTATGCCCAACTTTGTCATTTAATACCTTTATTTGCATTACTCATACATTTCTTTTCAATAAAAATTGTGTTTCATTACTAATTATCTAATTGATTTTATGATAGAAATTAATGGGCGTTTTCGTTTCTACAAAAAATGTTGCCTTCTCATCGCCCTCGTCCTAATGTTTGTGCGTAGAGGGCCAAGAGAAGGCTGCATTTTTAAGTAGAAATGAAATCGGCATAAGTTAGCGAAAGGGGGATATTTTTTATATTATTCCACTAAAATTTCTAACGGAGCCAAATCACAGTCCCGGGACACTGAGTAAAAATCGGTGAACACGAAAAATAGTAAAAAGATAATAAGAAAAAAATAAATAAAAATAAAAAGTTTAGTAGATTTTTTTTGTGTAAATCATTTTGTGGGATTTATTTATCACCAATTATGCATTATACCTGTTTTTGTATTAATTGCATTGCATCGGTACGATCCACAAGCAGTTATATCTTCAGATCTGATTTTTGAAATGTGTCCCTTTTAAAGATTGTGTGGAATTTAACTAGGATATTTGGTTATGCATGACTTAATTGGACATACTCTTAACGGGGCCTTAAAGCTTAAACAGACGGTAGCGTTGATCCGGATCAACTAGGGAATTAACTGCAGTACATCCGGACTAAGTCCGAGTTAATGCGGATCAACGCTGCCGTCTGTTTATGCTTTTAGTCAACGTGAGGAAATCTGTATAGTGTCCTTTTACCAAAATACATTACGTTAATCAAACCACATTTTGTTCTTCAATAAGTGAGTGTATATCTGGACTTGTAAGCATCAAATCAATTTTTATTTTGGGGACTGATTAATTCTCAAGAAATCTGGGGAAAAAGATGAAGATACTTGTATCTATAGTTTGCTTGTTTCAATACAAATCCAGTTATGACGTAGCGAATATGGGCCAGATGGGGGACTTCTTGGATTTATCACTCATGGGCGAATTTTAAAACAAATATATCAAAAGAATTATTAAAACTGCTATCAACTGTAGCCGATGTCTAGCATCTTATGAAAACATATCAAATAGAACTAAAACAGTCTACACAGAAATGACACAACTTCCGTTGTTGGCTTAAATTTGTGCGCTGTACGACAGGAGATATAAAATCATAGATAACGAGGCTAAGTCTTAATTTAATAGGAAGTGCTTGGGGTTTACAAATCAGGCCTTTCATATGATGATAGACAGTCTTTTCTTGCGATGCCCATACTTTTAGGATGTGAGATATCCTGGAATTCTTCAAAAATCATCTAAGGAAGTCATTGTTATCGACAGTTTCTGTCCAGAACATTTACATTTTTGCATACTCGTACGTTTCTATGTGTATGTGCAAGTAGCAAACATCAGTTAAATTTTGTGCATTTTTCAAACGTCCCAAATACGATTTAGAATTAATACCTTTTGACATATCCACACAAAAGTAAATTCAAATATCGCGCCACGAACGCAAATGCATTACTTATACACGCATATATCTTCATAAAATTCTTGTTCGAAGTATTAATGTATTTATGTAAATACACACATTTTCAAAATATTTATGAATTTCAGAACAAATTAGAAATAATTTCGTTTGAAGATCTTATATTGCTTTACTGCCTGCCTGTCTTTGTACGCAATTTACTTGTCAAAATAGTTTAGCAATTGGCAAAATAATAGCATATACGAAAGCACGATACGTACTGACATATATTGTGTTTATTTTATACATACAGAAATTTTTATGGGGTTATTCCTTAATCCCTCCATTGCGAGTTGTTTTCTTAATAGATTTTGGTCAGGTTTAAGCTTATCTTTCTAATGGTAAATGGATGATTTCAGCTGCATATAAATCCTCCATTGCCGAGACAAAGAAATAACATTTAAAATCTTGACTCAAATTATCTGTACTGTAGTTTTCGCTAAAATTACATTTGAAAGAAAAAAAGCTATCAACAATAATTGTAAATAATCAAAAATAATCGCATTTAATCGTTCATAATCAGAAAAATATTTTCATCTAAGATAGCTGATTTTACGTCGGTTACCCACCGACTTATTCAGCCGACATAGGTAAGTATATATGTATATATATATATATATATATATATATATATGTAGTATATTCATGCCGAGTGTTTAAACTGGATATCTCACGGGTCGTACCATAAATAGATTTGGCATCACTCATTTAGTAATCAGCAACTAATGGTGAAATGGTGATCGATGACTGATTCGACCTTTTTTGTCCAATGTTAATAGAATTTGTAATGAAATATTTGGCTTGCAAATGTACGGAGCCTATATGAAGCACAAAATGGAATAAAAATAGGTTTCAGCGTTTCACGGTTACATTTGTCGCAGCTTGCATGTGAAGAACTCTGGCAGCATTGCAGAGTTTCAAGGTTAGTTTCCTACATTTCACTTCCGGCTCGGATTAATCTATCCAGTAAGGAATAGTGAAATAATTTTCTGTTGCGTTTATAATTCAGAAACTAGTATCTACTATCAACCACCACGCAGATTAGAGGAGAATATTGAAAAAATCCGGCAAGAATCTATCAATAGATCCATCATTATTCATGACAACGCCAGGTCAAACACAAGTTTGCTGACTTGGCAAGAATCGGGACAGTTCGGCTAGGAATGCATCCATTTTCCTCATTTCCTGAACCCATCACCTTCATATTTTAATTATTTCTGGAATCTGCAGAATGATCTTAAGGATTTAATTCAAAGGATGTCTTGGCAAATCATTTGATTCAGTGTCACGCACAGAAATCACAAAAGTTTGTTATGGTTCTGTCATAAAAATGGCAAAGGATTATCGATCAAAATGGCATATTGTACTTGGTTGGAATATTAAAGGTCTTGAAATTTGGTGTGCAAATTCGAAAGGATTTGTTCGACTATCCAATGTACATACAGACATACATATGTATGTACATAACTTTGTGTGCTATAGGTACCAGCGAGTATTTAATTGTAAATCAGTGGCCACTTGTGGCTTTTAATATATATTTGCACTGAATTTAAAATGAACGGCTGCCGATTAGTGAGTCACAGCTGGATACCAATGGTCTTTCTTTTTTTTAATTAAATTCTTGTGTGAGTTTACTTTCCCAATACAATTTAAGCAAATCCAAAGAATAGCAAAAAAATCAAGGTAATTTATTTTTCCGAAGGAAATATACCCTTCACTGTATTGAAAATCAAAATTTTCATTATCAATCGATATGTTGCCATATAAAACTTCATTAGATAATAGATTTAAATTTCTACTTCAAAACTTGTCAATTCTTAAGCTAAAAATTTTATGCTATTTTAAGTAATTACTAGTCCAGTTTTCTTTAGCGTTCAAAAAGTAAACGCAATTCATTTTCAATATTGAAAGGCATAAAAATAAAGACGAATAAGTTAATGCAATAGCTTATTTAAGTGAAAAATTTCAGTATGTATTTTTAAAAGATTTCAATTGAATCGAAGTGGGATAAATAAATGAACTGAAATCCAGCGGGACAGCGAACAAGTGCCCAACGCTGGAAGAGGTGATCGTTGGGAAATTGTCTGTAATTAATTTTAGCATAGTTGTGTGTACGCTCAGTGGAGGCTGAGAGCGTCTTTCAGCTTTTCATTTCATTTCATTTCATTTCTACAGGTGTTTTTATGTATTTTTGTGTATTTTTGGAGGTCCGTGTGTTTAGCCCGCGTATGCATGTCTGTCTGTTTGGCGCGCCGTTATGGTTTAATGTAATTTTTTGCTCTGCTAAATAAAAATACAAACAAAGGCAGAAGAAACAAGCATTGAACTTGCCGATGCATAAACGTCAGCAAGGTGATTATTGAAAAAATACTAATGACCTTCGGTAAACAGACCCGATTACACAGGTATATTGAAACAGCGATTGCCGAAAATATACAAACTAGAGGTGTAACGGATGGTTATTTGGCCGAATGGAAGAATATCCGGCGGCCGGGTAACAAGTCCATTGGCTCGTTGTCACCAAAATAAATGTATTTCTAAAGACCACCCTTTAAAAGAAATGAAAGCTGCCAATAAAAAGCTTGCAATAAAAAAAGAAGCTTAAGGCCAAACCTTTCAAATGAGCAATTCTAGTTGCATTTGTGCAGAGTCGGCCCACTCTAAGCTATTATTGTTTCTGTTCTAACAAAAAAAAAGATGATGAATTTATTTTGAGTATTAAATTTATTACTTTTACTAAGATAACGTGTTTCTAAAATTAACGAAGATTCTTTTACTTAATATAATTTTGAGAAACTGTTCGGCCGGCCATATACTGGATGGAATGAATGACAAATTTAGGCCGGGTATTTAAAAAACCGAATAGCTATCGAATATCCGTTACATCTCTAGTAGAAACACACGATTATAATATATATAAGCGGGTAGAAGATAAATTACGCTGTAAATATTTTACAGAAGTGTTTCGAAAATATGCATTTGTTTTATGAATTGTTTATTTAGCTGCTCGCTGATGAAGTACGTAATCCAAATAAGAACTTTATGAGTTTTCCCGAAAATACTTATTTATAAATTCTCGTCATTTTTGGCATTCCACAAAAACAAGGTATCTACATATACATATGTATATCTACATCAATCGATAAATAAGCCATAAGCCCGTTTTCGTCATACCTTTTTTTACTGCGAAAAGATAAACAAATTTTAAGTTGACTATTATTATTAAATACGCCGGGTATATTCACGCATTATCATAAAGCCTTAGGTCCCCACGGTGCATGATACGTGGGCAGTTATTTAGAAT